GCGCCCCCAGCTACTCAGAGCAACCCCCAGTCTAGAAACTCACCATACTCCCGCACCGACCCCCACTCAGCTCGGGCCTCCATGGGCCCCCCAGGACATGCCCCCTCCCCCGGCAGCCACCCCCGGCCCAGGCCCCGCCCGGGCCGCCGGCGCCCCCCTCGTCCCCAGTCAGGGCTCGACACTCACCCCTCGCCCGCCACAGCCGTCCCGGGGCCTCGGCGGGCCCGGCCCCCGCCCAGCTCAGCCCCGGGACGAGGGGCCGGGACAAGCCCCGGGGCGGGGCAGGGGGGCAGGGCCCGGAGCTCGCGCTCCGCTGACGCCCCGGGAGGCTAGTACCGAGCCCTGACAGGGACTTCCCGGGCCGCTCCACTCACCGTCGCCCCCGCTGCCGCCATCTTGGATCCACGTGTCGGGACAGACGTAAGCGGAAGTAGTCAGTGGTTGGTTGGGGACGTTTATCACCATGGAGACGGCGGCGGGCGGAGGAAGCCGGTTCCGGGCCGAGCCCTCCAGGCGGAGCGAAGAAGGAGAGAGGCCGGGCCCCGGCCGAGCATAGGCACTGCCTCCGCCGGGTACGCTCCCTCGCCCCCATGCCCTAGTTACCGCCAGCAGGGCCCAGCTCCGGGGAGAGGACTGCCCGCAGCGCCATCTTTACTGAGGGTAGCAGGGCTCAGCCTGAGGGGGGGGCGTGTCACTCTCGGAGCCATCTTTACTGAGGGCAGCAGGGCTCAGCCTCAGGCGGGGCGTGTAACCTCGGAGCCATCTTTACTGAGGGCAGCAGGGCTCAGGCGGAGCGTGTAACGCGCGGAGCCATCTTTACTGAGGGCAGCAGGGCTCAGCCTCAGGGGGGGCGTGTCACGCTCGGAGCCATCTTTACTGAGGGCAGCAGGGGTCGTTTCCTCAGTTGGTAACCTATTCACCCCGCTGCGGCGCCATCTTTACTGAGGGCAGCAGGGCTCAGGCGGGGCGTGTAACACTCGGAGCCATCTTTACTGAGGGCAGCAGGGGTCGTTTCCTCAGTTGGTAACCTATTCGCCCCGCTGCGGCGCCATCTTTACTGAGGGCAACAGAGGGCGCAAGGAGCCATGCGTGGTTAACCCTGGAGCATAACGACGGTGACCTGGCACAGTTGTTACGCTGGGTGATGGCTGATGGGCCCCCAGCTAGACAGGGGGGTGGTAGCCACACCAGTGGGCACTGGCAATACTGGATACCTCCGTTGAGATAAATATGAGAAGGAAGAGACCATGCCCTGAACCCTGAGATCTCTCCCTCGATTGGCCGAGGGAGGACGGAGTATTTACCAGCAGCTAGAAACAGGTAATACCAGGCCTTCTTCGCTACCACCTCTACAATGTTAAAAGAAAGCCACAAACAATGCAAAATGTTTGAATATTTATTGACTGAAAATCAAAGCTGAGATAGAAGCACATTATCCACTCTCTCCTGTTACTGTTATCCAGGAAAGTCACACAACTATCTCAAAAATTCATTAGGAAAAAGAGAGAGACTTAAAACATGTCAAAAATCTTTATCCTCACTCCTGCCACCCCTCCCACCCCTCCCACCCCCACCCCAAATAATCTATCTTTAAATACTAAAAAACCTGAAATAAGTGTGCAAGAAATGCAGGGTTCCTTAGTAGAAATGCAAGTTAATATTAAACTGCAAATTGTGCTACCCTCCCCTATCCAGAGAAACTGAAGTTCACTGACGTTAACTACTTTCTCTTCAGATTTCTACTGCCACCTACTTCACGTTGTAAAATGCGTGAGAATATATCAGTCCCTAGCATCGTGTTCCTAATATGTTTTTTAGGAAACACACCTGTAATTCTCAGACAATCGTAAAGGTGCCACTATAAAATCTGCAGAAACAGCTCAAGAAAAGAGTTGAAAAATCAAAATTCTGCTGTTGTTACCCCACAGCAACTGGGGGGAGGGGAAAATCAGGCCAATGTCTGTTATTTATAAACTACCATATACGTGCGAGGCATCTTGCATGTCTTGTAAAAAGATGAGGTTCCTGCTCCAAGGAGCTCAGTATTTAGTTCAGTTAATACACTTGCCAACAGTTCACCCACAAGACGATGCAGACCAGATCCATGCAGGAAACCATCACAAAAGCGAAATGGGTTTGAAAGAGGCTTTACATGGCACCTTTCATCCAGAGATCCTAAAGCCTTTTACAAATCACTTTACAAGCGACCACTTCTGGGGTGAAATCCAGCAGCTGTTTAACAGTACACAACTCCAGCACGTGACAGTTTGTGATGAGGAGTGAACTATATTCATTTGAAACTGCATGGGGAGATTTTAGTCAGAATTCAGTTATTCATAACGTAATTTGCTCTCTGTTATCCTATCTGCATAAAGCAAACAAGCATCATGGGCTCTTTATAGAGTCACGCCCACAGTTTTATATCTCATTGGAAAGATGGCACCTTCTACATCACAGTGCCTTCTTGCACGATGCTAGGCCAATAGTTCCATATGGATTTAAAGGGAATGGAGCCACCTGCTGAAGACTTCCTGCAGCAATGGATTTTCCATAGCAGTCTCGCACCTAAGTACTAACAAGGCCTAACAGTGTTTAGCTTATCCAGCAAGTTCACAGCCCAAGGAGGCTGAAATGTAATGCTACTGCATTCTGCCTCCCAACTTCAATCAAGTCAGTGTCAGGAAATCTTTGGTGTCTAAGAAGAGGCTGATGGAAGTGGGCAATATGTATAAAGGAATACTAAGGGAGGGCTTGGCCAGGAGAAGAACAGACTGGGTGTGTCTATTACAGGTACTATAGTATGCACAGTTATGGATATCCATTGCTGTCACTGGATTGTCTACATTAAGGCTGATGCTGGTACTGGCTCTCTGTTGCAGTAAAGAAATCCTCCAGAACACTCTGTGTGTACTCAAAGGTAGGACGATCTTCTGGTTTGGTCTTCCAGCATCTCATCATTATATCATACAGCTCTTCTGGGCAGTTTTCTGTGCGCGGCATTCGGTATCCACGCTCCAGGGCACGGATCACTTCTGGGTTAGACATCCCTATAACAATGGGCAGGAGGGAAACCGAGTATTAAAACAGGTGTTTTCATTTTGATTTTTAACAACCCCTTTAGGGAGTGTGATCCCCCTAACATAGGGACAGGAAGAAAACACAGGAAGAGTGGTGGGGATGAACCCCTATACCACTACCTGGGAAAGGTACAGCAATCAGAGACAATGACATTCAAAGCAGTATTAACATAATCATTTTTTATCCCAATAAGAGAGATCAGTTACGAAGTCCAGTTCTGCATAACACTCCAAAAATAAAGACCATACTCTTCATTTAATAGGCAGCAGGTTTAAAAACAAACAAAAGGTAGTATTTCTTAATACAACGCACAGTCAACCTTGGGAACTTGTTGCCAGGGGATGTTGTGAAAGCCAAAACTATAACAGGGTTCAAAAAAGAACTAGATAAGTTCATGGAGGATAGGACCATCAATGGCGTTCCTAGCCTCTGTTTGCCAGAAACTGGGAATGGGCAACGGGATGGATCACTTGAGAATCACATGTTCTGTTCATTTAACTCTGAAGCACCTGGCATTGGCCCTGAGTTTCAAAGGTGCTGACCGTCCACATTCAGTGGTGCTAAGCATCTCTGAAATCAAGCCGTGTCTCAAGCTGGGTACCCAGAAATGGATTCATCTAAGTTTAGTGGACACCTTTGAAACAACAGACCTTAATTTCATGTCTATTTCTCAGTCTCTAAATCTGGGACTCCTGCAGCTTCTGCTTTGGGCTCTGTGCACTTTGATGTCTGCAAGTTTCGACTGGGGTGTGTTTTTAGGCTATAGACAGTGCGTAATCAAGGTTAAATTAAGAGCACCAGCTGGGTTTCAATCTTTCACACCATCCAGTCTGGGCTGGTACCTGCCCAAACAGCAAACGTGGATGAATGAATAATACATGTTGGTCAGAGATGTGACCACGCCATGCCCTGGGTACTCTGCCTTTTACTTCTTGTTCCAAGGCTTTGTCACCTGGGACCCTGTGCTCATGATCCTGTCTTCAGACACTGCTCCCCAACTTTTGTGGTTCAAAGTTCTCAATGCACCCTTCCTTCCCCGATACCTTTCTAACTTCAGCTAGAAGTAGATTATATGGGCAAGCCAAGAATAGCATATGGAGACATTTCAACTTTGTACCTGGGTACGGGGTCCGCCCATAGGTAACTATCTCCATCAGGAGGATTCCAAAGGACCAGACGTCTGATTTTATGGTGAAAGATCCAAAATTGATGGCTTCTGGTGAAGTCCATTTAATGGGAAACTTGGCACCTGGCAAATAGATCAAAATTGTCAGGTGTAACTCACATGCCAAGTGGCCAGAAGTGAGGCACATAGCAAGATAAGTAACTAACAGAAGGATCTATGGAGATGCAAGTTAAGTAGCCTCCATGCTACATTAACCTATGTGGTAACTTCTTCCACATGTCCTCGACATGCAAATTACGCCAACTCAGACTCCCGTGTACATGGGTAGGTGGGTGTAAGCAGACCTAAGGGAGTCCAGGTTACACCATCTTACACATCACCTCTGAATCGGGCTGTCCATGTGCATTTTGGCATGCCTATTAGGTTATGCAGGCTGCATTTGCGCATGGCATCCACAGCAGCTCTCTCTACCTTCCCGGGCTGTGTACTCGTTATCCTCAATGATTCTGGCCAGTCCGAAATCGGCAATCTTGCACACCAGGGTGGCTGACACCAGGATATTGGCAGCTCTCAAGTCCCGGTGGATGTAGTTCCTCTGCTCGATGAAAGCCATTCCTTCTGCAATCTTTAGAAAGGGGAGAAAGTGTGTGTGAGCCACAGAAACAGACCCTTCCTGGGCACCATGAAAGACATTAGCTGATCATTAACAAGCACCTGGAAACCAAGGACTAGAACAATGAGTGTGCAGTGAATCCTCTCTCTCCAAGAGGAAGGGGGGGTGACAGACTAAATCCCTGTCCCCTAAGGAAAGGGTTGTTCATCGAGCTTCAAGACGGGATCAATTATGGCAAAGTCCAGGATTGTGGGCAGCATTCAGCCCTCTGCAGAGGGCCAACACGAGGCTTATGCACCACTTACACCCATGGTGGGGAGATGGCAGAGGACAGTGGCTGATGAATTGATGTATCAGAACCAGCCTTTGCAAATTTCCATGAACTGGAAACTGGGATCTAACCTGTTCACCAACCGTCATGCACATGGACTCTCACAAACACCCACGAATTTGCAGACAAACACACTCATCTTGAATTTGCCAGCACCCACACACGAGCTGGTGCACACATGATCAGAACCCAAATCTGTTGCCACAGGCCCTCAACTCTACTATCAAGACCTGTGGGAATATACTAGGCTCGTGTCTGCTTTTA